TTTTTTTGTTTTTTTGGTTTTTTGTTTGTTTGGGCGTTTTTGTTTATTTTTTGTTTGGGGTTTTTTGTTTGGGTTTTGTGGGTTTTGGTTGGTTGGTTTTTGTTTGGTTTGGTTTTTTGGTTTCTTTGGTTGTTGAGGCCAGCTGGGGTTTTCTGGTGTTATGTGGCTTGTGCCACGTGTCTGTCCAGGAATAGGATGAGGCCTCATGAATGAACCGGTTTTTGGAAGTGTTTCCAAGGGGTGGCTGAGTTCTCCTGGCTGAGGAGCTGGAGCAGCCAGACAGGAGCTGGCAGTGCTGAGGAGCCTGTGAGCAACCTCAGAACTGATGTGGAGCCTCCTCTCAGGGCCAGGGCAGGGTTTAGGGTGGAAATCAGGGAAGGTTCTTCTGTCCCCAGAGGGTGCTGGCACTGCCCAGGCTCCCCAGGGAATGGTCCCCAAGGCTGCTGGAGCTCCAGGAGTGTTTGGATTCCACAGGGGAGGATTGTTGGGGGTCTGGGCAGGGCTGGAGTGGGACTGGGTGATCCCTGTGGGTCCCTTCCTGCTCAGGATATTTCAGGATTCTCTGGAAATGCACAAGTCTTTCCCAAAGATAATGGACAGAGGCGGTTACGAGCCATTTTTAGATCCCTGACAGAATATTGGTGTCCAAATTTTTTCTGTGTTCGTGGTGAGCAGCATTTGGTGTGTGTGCATGGAGGCTGGGGTCTGTGTGGGAGGGAATTTTGGGAGCAGCAGGAGCAAGACAGCACCACCGAGGTCATAATCCTCCTTTCTCTCCTCACCCCCTGCAGGTGCTAAAAGAAGCTTCCCAAACGAACCTCCTGGCAAGGGTGTGGTGGTACAAGCCCTTCCAGTACTTTGAGAAGAATGTGCAAGGCATCGTACCTCGCTCCTACCACTGGCCGCTGCGGTGTCCGGCGCTGGCGCGGGGCCGGCCGGTCAAGTACAGCCGCCTGCTGAGCGCCACGTAACGCCGTCCCGCGGTGCCACACCCGTCCCAAGTGCTCACAGCCGCAGACAAGATGCCACCACGGAAACCCAGCGTTCCCAGCCCGTTCCTCAGCATCTCCCTGCCCCTCCTGGGGGTGCCTGGTAAGCACTGTGATCTTTTTTCCCTCTCCAAAGGATGGGATGAAGAGAGCCGCCCTTGTCACGCACTGTTACACATTTCCTGTGGGTAGAGTCGGGATCTGCATCTCCCCATCGCCGCCTTCCTTTGTATACGACGCGACGACACAAACRAAAAAAGCTTTTATATCCTCAGTTCTGGTCTTTCCAGTCACGTCTGGGAACAAAGCATATTATTTTCTTGGGAAAACATAACTTTTCATATCTCTTGCCCCAAAGATTGGGCTGTAAGCCATTTTCTAGCAAATGACTATCTGAAGGTTTCTAAATAACCTGCCTCGGGTGAAATTGAGAAATCTTTCTACCTGTCGCACCGCGCTACGAATGAGATGATAGACACAGAAAGGTTTGGTAAATCCTGATTTTGTAGAATCTGCAGTGACTGTGTCAAAAAGTGCAAAAAAACCACAAAAGAGAAAAAAAAAAAAAAAAAAAAAAAAAATGTAAAGTGATTTTCTAAGTATTTCCTAACTTTATTTTTCAAAATGTGTATGAAAAAAAGAAAATTAAATTTAAAAAAGATTTTTACATGTCAGAGAATAGAGAGTTAAAACCTTTAAAGAAAATGCTTCTTGGGAGAGAGAGAGATTTGTCTATGTTTCTAGTGCCTTTCTTGTCTTGATTGTATGGTCAGTAGGCAGTCTTAAATGTTTTTATTTGAAATAAAGTATTCCATGAAAGCAGAATTATATATACTGTATAATTACTAATTTTTGCATTTATAGCTAAATTAAACTGGAAATTTGCTTATAATGTTGAAATTGCCACGTGTAGGGAAAAAAACTCCCGCCCCACCAAATAAAATGGGTCTGGCCTTGCTCACACATTGTGGGCAGGTCCAGCTGAAAAAGCATCACTTTATTGTCTACTTGGTTGCTGGATTTTAAAAAGCAAAACAGCCATGAATTCCTGTTTTTTAAGAATTTTACAAATGATCACTGAGTGAACCGCGAATGGTTTCTCCATCCCCTATCGAAGTGTTGTTGAAAAACAACACAGATAATCTATTTCTTTAAAATATTTGTGCAGAAACTGCATGGAATTCTCTAAGTTTTCACTCCTGCCATACATACTGTATGTTTGGGGAAGTCTCTGATCCTAAACTTGCCGATGTGCAGAACAAAAAAAATAGTTTTTTTAAAAAAGAATGAAGAAGAGAAAAAAATATATATATAAATATATATATATCTATCCATTCTGTATTTTACGTGCAGCAGAGTTATCTTCTGTAGGTTTTTTGTGTATTCACAAGGTGATATTTGTATTGTCAAACAACAATGGTGAAGGAAAATAAAAAAAGGCTTTTGAAAAATGTAGTTTCCTTTATCTTTTTAACATTCAGTTGAACTTTGAAGCTGGGTTTGTTGTGCCGAACCTTGCCTTTGAGTTGATGTTATTGCACTGTGGGCCAGCCGATGTGGACTGTATGGAAACTGCGTTGCTGTGGAATTGCTGTCGGGCGAAACCGTGCCTTATCTGAAATAAATCAATGCTATGCAATCGATTCCGAGCGGGCAGGGGGGAGGAGCCTTCCTTGGAGCCATCTCCAGGCCTTGAAAAATCTACCCCGAGCTGCTGGGAGGCGGCACAGGGCAGGGTGGGCACCCCTTCCCCGGGAGCTGCCAGTCCCGGCCCCCAAACTCCCGAAAAAAAAAAGAGGAGAAGCCAATTCCTGTGCGTCCGTGCTGGTGAAAGTGTCAGTTCTTCCTTATTTCCTTCTTTTTTGGGATGCTCTGTCTCTTCCTCGGCCTTGGCCAAAGCCTGCCCCAGAGCTGGGGTGCTGYTTGTGCTGCTCGGGGTGCTGAGCAGGAGCAGCCCCTGCCCGTTCCCTGTTCCCTGGGGAGGGATGGAGAGATGGAAGGAGGAGTTCCTTGGCCAAACCTCCCCAGCAGCGCTGGCAGAGCCGGCTGGGAATTCAGGGCTCGGCTCTGCCTGCTCTGCCTTCCGTTCAGGGCCTCCCCTTGGCATCTTTGGGGTCCCAAGGCGGTTTCCAAACAGCCCAGCCCCCTCCCCRGCTGATTTTTGAGAGAGTTCCCGCTCCCAGACGGAACTGAGGCGTAGATTTTTCAAGACCTGGCGTCACGCACATCCGAGCCATTGCCATAAGTAAATGTATGGATATATATGCACATGACATTAAATGGAATCTGCTGAGCCCTCCGTGTGCTGTCTGCCTTTCTGCGGCGGGGCTGGGCCCGGGCAGGGCGGGAGCTGCCTCGGGAAGGGGCTGGGAATGGGG